AGAGGGTACGAAAACCTGGTGCTTCTCGAATACTTGGAATTGACATTGATCGTAAAAGGCTATATATAGCAAAGAAGTTTCATGACCGATTTTATCAAACTCGAAAGACCTTGAATAACCGGTATATAACGTAAATGTAGATGTAATAGATAATTGTGTTGATTATAGATTCAAGTGCATTGAGAAGTCTATGTAATGAGAGCACAGCAAAAAAAAAAAAAAAAGGAAAACAAAAATGGAAAAAATTGGGATCAAAACCATTATTATTAGTAAACATTCATAAAGTTTAGTGGGGACAAATAGTCCCACTTTCAATGAAGTTGAAGACTTTTGGAACAAAAAGTCCCACTACCTAATTTCATGGAAAATTTTTGGTCTAAAAATTATTATCTATTGTATTTTTAACATGATTTCTCACGTGTAGGTTCAATTTACTTATTTTTTATCAGATGCTTGACAAGTAATTTGTTTGTGATGAATTTGAATTAAGATATTTATCAAACAATAGAAAACTCAGGAAAAGAATCTCACCGGCCAGCCTAAAAGATCTTTGGCATGTGGATGGGAATTTTCCAAAATGATTGAAGTCGTCAATTGCATAACAAATGTGTTATTAACTGTTTAGCGGTTAAAAGTTGAGAAACTTTTATCTTTTTATATATTTTGTATTCAGGACACTCTTCAATTTATTTATTTTACTTAAAGCCATCTTGTACTCAAAATATTTATTTATTTTTTATGTTGAACCAACATATAATTACGAGTTAAATATTTCATTGGTCACTTAATTTATAGCTATGTCACTTTTTACTCGCTAAACTTTAAAATATTTCCTCTTGGTTACTAAACTTACACCTTCGTCGCACTCTGTTAATTAAACTTTAAAACACTTTTGAATAGTTACGAACTTTAACACATTGTACTCCGACACTCACTAGCCCTTGTTTGAGCCCCATTTTGGGAGAAAATGAGTTTTTGAATAATGATTTTTTTGGATAATGTGTGGTTAAAAAATAAGAAAAAAATTTTGATTTACGTGTAAAATTATTTTATTAGAGAATGTATGATTGAAAATGAGTTTTGAAAAAAAAAAATTTATAAAATGGAGATCAAACAAGGGCATAGTTTCATTATTAACTAAACTTATACATCTGTCACGCTTTACTAACTGGACTTTAAAATATTTCTGAGTAATCACTAATCTTCATAATGTTTTCGAGTAAAAAAAATTTATTTGTGAAATTCGACCTACGTTAAAAAATAAATTAAATATCAATTAGATATGAGACTCTCAATTTAACACGAGAATACATATATCAAGAAGATATAATTTTTCTAATTGTTAATAGCTATGTTCAAGGTGAAAGGAGAAAGTTAGATTCAAATTGATATAAATCTTAATTTAGATCATAATCTTCCTTTACGTCAAGAAAATAAAATAGAGAAATTATTTCGTTATTTTGATTGAGATCGTAGATCCAAATCGAGAGAATAAAAAATTATATCTTAAACAAAATATGAAATTTTCAATTTAGAATCAATAATATTAATTAATACTGACAAAATATAATTTTTAAAGTCACCACCAAATAAATCAAGAGGAAAGAAGGATTTTATTTTCGTGTATGGTATTTTATACTTTAAAATCTTTAATTTTTAACATTTGGTTTAGTAAGTAAAGTTCAGTGTTCATTCAAAAATATTTTAAAATTCAATGAATAAAACAAGACGAAAGAATTAGCTCGATGAGTAAAGCGTGACAAAAGTATAAGTTCAATGGGTAAAGCGTGATGAAAGTATAAGTTGAGTGACTAATGAAACATGGTCAATGAGTGATGGAGTGGAATGTGTCAAAATTCAATAATCGTTTGAAAGCAGTTTAAAGTTTAATGAGTAAATCGAGACAAAGTATAAGTTAGTTGTCAAAGGAAACATTTAACTCAATTAGAGGTGTCAATCCGGGTGGTCCGGGCCAGGTCGGCCTGCCAAGATATGAGCTCGGTAATGGCCAACGTGAAAAAAAAAGCCCGCCCGCACGGGTTCTGGGTCAGCCCACAAATTTTGAACTACAACCCAGGTCTGCCCGCTGACCCATCCGGGTCGAGCCCATGCGAGTCACGGGTCGCGCGGGTCGAGATTTGTTCTGATTTAGCCCGTATTATTGTATAAATAAAATTATAAAAATACAGAATTTTTCATATTTATAGCAAGAATTATTTTTTTTATTAAATGTAAACTAAAAATTGAATAAAATGATAAATTCATATTTATACCAAAAAATGTTTACATAGAATTCAAATTTAATATTACNGAATTATTTATAACTTTGTAAAGTTAAATTTAACTTAAACAAATAACAACTAAACGCATTTCTAATTACTGTTATCAAATATTTATAGTATAAGTATATCCCAACTAGGTTGACACCTACTTTTATTATAATTTATAGTTTAAGTACATCTCATTAGGTTGGCACCTATGTAAGTCTTAATTATAATTTAGTTGTTCAAAAATTATATATTTTAATATTTGTTTTCCAATCAATATTCAGAAACTGTAAGAGTTTTGAAGTGTTCAACAATATCATCAATAATTTTATCTTGCATCATTCGATCCGGGAATATCCAATCTTTTATACATATGAGAGCTTCCAAAATATCTTTCTTTAAGTCTAGATTTTCTTTCGTCTAATACCCTATTACTTGCACTAAAAGTAGACTCGGATGCCACTGTTGAGACAAAAGAAGATTTGTCTTTAGAAGTTGTTATTTATCAACTTCATCTTCAGGTATTACACTATAATGATCAAATTGATAATATCTTTCTAATTCAGCAAGAGTGGTATTTGGATTTGCAGTTGAAGTTGTAGATGAAGAACCAAGAACATTACGTTTCTTAGCTATTATGGAGAAAAAAAAAGATTTTCTTTTAGAAGTTGTACTAGAGCTATTATGCTTAGAATTCCCATTTTTTTCAAATTTAAAAAAAAAAAAAATTCACGAGCTGCGAGTTAATCGCGACCCGTGAAGGTGCAACCCGTGAAACTCGCGAGTTACACCTCCTTGACGCGTGAACTGCCCCCTAGGGTCACGGGTCGGCCATCGGTCCGGGGTCGATCCGGGCCAATTTTCACGTGTCTGACCAACCCGTCCGTCTTAACATATCTAAACTCAATGATATACAAGTTTAGGTACAAGTTAGTCTTCCACCAAGTTAATGCATTTAGCCCCCGTTTGGCCCCCACTACTTGAAATTTTAATGGATGAAACAATATTTTTTTGACAAATGTGTGGCTAAAAAAGAAGAAAAATTTTGAGATTACATATAATATTATTTATTAGAGAATGTGGAATTAATAAGAAAAGAAAGAAAAATGAATTATAATTATAACGATGACCAAACCGGGACTTAACATTCATAGCCCATGTTCGATGCCCGCTAAATTTTTTTTTTTTTT